CATCCAGCATTCCAGGCACCAGTGAAACACAGACCACTGAGACCAGGGACACTCAGCCTGAAGCAAGTAAGACCCTTGAATACCATTTATTCGATCACAATTTAAAACTTCAGTGACTTCTTTCTAAGTAAAACCAAGCTGACATTCCTCATTAATTAATCTCAAACACTGCTGGTCTATTATACTCTATTTGCTGGTCTATCCACCTTATTCTTCGCCCGTTCTATTTCCCATGATTCATAGCGGGTTCAACTGACTAAACGGTTTTCTACTTCCGGTTGAAGTGTTTGTTTACATAGAATGCTAGCACTCGCGTAAAGGCTGCGGTGATAGATTGTAGTTATTAAAGTATAAGATAATTATTCTGTCAAGATGGGAAGTAGTCGGTGGCTACACACCGCTGATGAAATCACAAAAGATCGTGAAGGCGACCGTATCAGAGTGCTACATCCCTCAAAATTGACAGGTTGGGTGGATGACATGAAGCTTTGGCCAGGAGTTAGCCATATTGACATTATTAATTATTTAATTTTTTCGGAGGGTGTAGATCATGAGGAGATGCGCAATTACAAAAGCACAGAGGCCTTCAATTACTTCTTTAGTAATAAAGTCGGGCGCATTTCCTTACTGAAGCACGGAGACTATGTATTTTTGAAAGCAGAGGTAGACAGAAGTCAAAGTGCTAATCAGCCTAAGCTTATTGCTTGGGTTATGCTGCAGCAGCCGGGGGTGATAGAGACTGCCGGATGTTCATGTATTGCTGGATTAGGGCGATCGTGCAGTCATGCATCAGCTATCCTTTGGAAGGTATAAAGAAAAGAAAAAAGTTCATTTTGTTTTTATCTGTGATTTAATAAAAAATAACGTGATCAGATCACATTTGATGCATGTTTTTTTCGATTTAGTTTAGCGATGTGGGGATGACACAATCTGAAACACATGGCAAAAGCATATAGAGCAGATTCTGGTAACGTTTTAGGTGAATGTGCTCATGACAGGTTGAGAATGCAGTTACTACCGGGAAGACAGGGCTTGCATGTACAGATGAGCAGCGCAGGTGGAATGCAGGGACAGTCAGGAACCTTGAGCCAAAACGACTGAGGGACATAAATTTCAGCCACCACAGGGCAGGAGATGAATTTAGCATTAGTGTGTCAGGTGCTCAGCCATTACCAAACACCCCACAATATATGTCACAAGCAGAATTGATAAATAATGTAGACAAAGACCCAACAAAGCCACTTTTCTAGTTAAAAAACAGTCTATTGGGCAAGTGTTACAGTGTAAAACCAGTATAGAGCAACCTTGTAGCCTTGCAAATACTGCAGTAGATGCAAGATTTTTAAGACCCCATCAAACACATGCTGGTTCTGATCTCACATGTGAGACATGTAAAAGTTTCTATGAGTTGTATGTTCAAGTGAGCTGTGCACAGGCTTCTACTTTAGAATCTGAAACAAGGGAGCAGAGTTCTTCCGATTTGTGGCACAATGCAAGAAAATTGAGAATAACTGCAAGTTCAGCTAAAAAGGTTCCTTCTAGAGCATCCACCAATCCTGATAAGTTTATGGCAGAGCACCTGTACCCCTCCTTTCGTGGCAACTATGCCACAAACTATGGTAAGGAGAATGAGGTGGTTGCTGGTAATGCACTTCGAGAGCAAGGCATGAGTATTACACACAGGGGCATCGTTGTTAGTGTCACAGAGCCATGGTTGTCAGCCAGCCCAGATGGGGTAATTGACTCATCTGTCCTACTCGAAATAAAATGTCCCGTCCCAAGTAAACTCCATTCTACCCTCTTGGATCAACTTGACCATAACTGCAGTGACATCAAGCTAGTAGATGGAGTACCACAACTTCAGAAAACCGGTAGTCGAGGATATTACATGCAGATACAATTAGGCATGTTTTGTGCCGGTCTGAAGATGGCCAAATTGTTTATCTGGAGCCCAATTGACACAGTTATGTTCACTGTACCATTTGATGAGCCCTATGTTCTGGAGAGGGTAGGACATCTGAAGAGATTTTATTTCTCAACAATGTTGCCCCAGCTTGTGGATGAATTTGTTGGTCAGCGACTGAAACTGCAGAACAGATACATGAGCATAATGAATTAATAGAAAATATCCCTCAGAAACATTTAGTTCAAATCACAAAACAACTGTTAGGTGCTGCTGCTGTTAACAGTATGAAAACTAATTTTTTTACCCAAACAATTTTATACATGTAAAAATGCTGAGCATAAGTATTGTTGTACATAAGTGAATATTTATGAATACATAATGTTGTTCATGTAAAATTGTATGCAAATCTGATAAAATCTATTGTACACAAACTCAAATAATAACAACAAATTTCTTACAGATTCAGATTATTTTATTTAATGCCATATCAGCATTCAAAGCTATTTTCATGACAAATTCAATTACAAAAATACAAATATCATATATATATATATATATATATATATATATATATATATATATATATATATATATATATATATAAAATATAAAAAAAACAGTAATTCATATTATACAAGATTTTTTGAATTAACATGACTATCCAAAACCATTTCAGGCTAAATTTCATACAAAGAGTAAATATAAACAGTCAAAAATTAAAAAAGGCAGCGAGTGTCAATATGAAATATACAGGAGCAATTTATGTAGATGTGTAAAGTGTGTGTGTGTGTGTGTGTGTGTGTGTGTGTGCAGATGAAACTACAACCTCAGAACATCACTGTTTTCACTTATTACTCACAGATGAGATCACCCCTTAAGTTAGCGAGGGCCGCACAGATTCTGAGGATTTTTTCAATTTTGGGGGTCATGTTTATTGGTATTACTTGAGACAAGATCTTGTATACTTTAAGTCGTCTGATTGCTCTCTCAACATGAATCCGAACATTTGCAATCCTGCGAGATGCTGTGACTTGTTCCTCAGTTAGCTGGGCACCCCCTCTAGTGAAAGCAGGCAGAACCAATTTGACCCTTTTTTCAAACAGCAAATCACGAACCAAGAACCCACGATCTGCCATGACTTCGTCTCCAGGCTTTAAATAGTCCAAGATACCAGAGTTCATAGTGATATATTTGTCACTGGCACGTCCTCCATATCCAGTTGAGATAAACATGATTAAGCCACATGGGGCAACAGCAACAAGGTATTTGATTGTGTTGTGCGAGTAGTAATGGCTGTAGGACTCCCCTCTAGAGTCAAGATTTTTCGCCTTCTGTAATAAACTTTCGCTGCAGTCAATGACACAGGTAGTGTTGGGAAAAAACTTCTTGAATGCAGTTGGCATAGTGGCCTTAATGGTTTCTTTTGGGAGCCAGATAATAAGAGGGCGCAAGACCTCCTCCATTTTATCAATCCAGAAGGAGATAACCTTACTGGCAACACTCTGAGACACATGAAACTGCCTACCAAGGTCACCCAGCACACGATTTAATTTCAATTTTATCAGTGTCATTAGTATCTGATCACGCACTGACAAAACAAAAGCCCTTTCAGCAAATCCATCTAAGGTGGAAACAAGAGAGTTGAAGGTTTCCAGTGAGACTCCAGTGTAGAGGAATGAATCGGCATCACTCTGAAGCATGGAGTAGCTGAAATCTTCAGTTTGTGTTGTGGCATCTTTGGCTGTCTCATCAGCACCCTGCTGTTCACCATAGTTGTGGTCCCAAAGCAATGGATCTTCCCACTGGGTGGAAATAGTGCTGTATGATACTTGTGGCACTTCAGGTATGCCCTCATCCTCCTGGTCTGTCACTTCTGCTGTTGCTGAAAAAAAAAAAGAGCACATAGGCTACATGTTAAACTCTTTCTGTCCATGTTTCTCACACTGACAACATTATAGTAAAAGCTTATGATAAATGGTGATGGAAGCTCTTCCTCGCTCAGGCTAACAACTACCTAGCCCACATAAAGATAGCACTCATATAGCATTAAACCTACAGTAACATTCGGTGGACAAAGGCATAAACCATTAATGGCCATGTTTTTAACATATTTACTCATAAATGGCATATTGTTAAAAAAAAACTGTAGGTTAGACTGCCCACAGATAACAAGAATATTTCAGGCCGGTGGAGCTCGTAAAAATGTAAACACATTATGGGCATATAATGGGCATATTATTACATAATGGGCATAGTGTTACATAAAATTATTACATATTATCCACATAATGGGCATATTATTCATAAAATGTAGGTTAGACTGCCCACAGATGACACGAATATTTCAGGCTGGGGCATATTGATTGTAAAAATATAGGTTAGGCTGCCCACAGATAAAATAAATATTTTGTAAAATGTAAACAACCGGAGGTAGCTAACGTTAACTCAACAGAATTCAACATTAAAAGTGGCTTACCTGTCGCTTCGACACGAACAATTGCACGTCTCTTCTTCACCACTGGTCTGTCATATCCAAGGTATAATTCCGGGTTGGGATGGTCATCCGTGGGGCGTTTGTCAACAAAATGATGCGAGCAGACGTAAACCTTTTTCGGTGGATGTTTCAGTTTTAGCGCAGCTAACCACTCTAAATGTCTACACTCTGGCATTGAATGTAGCTGATACGGAACCGGACACGGACATTCTCTCCTTCTTATCTTATGCTCGAAGCACTCAGTTTCTAAAAAGTTTTGTATCTTCTTTGAATTGTTAAAACAACCAACAACAGCACATGTGGAACCTGAACTCATTCTCTCTCTGCTAGTAACTTACCGGTCGATCGCTACGAACCGGAAGTTGACAACCGGAGTCGTCGTCATGGCAGCGCGCATTGTTTAGAGCAGAATAAGGTGGATAGTATAGTAATGTATAGCTTAAGCACAGCATTGTAATTATGTAATTTTTTTATATATTTACCATCTGTTGTATTATAACTTAAAATGAAGAGTACTAATTTGTTATTGCATTTTTGCTTTACATTGTGTACCCCTATTAAAGCATTAACATCAATTTTGCATGTATGCATTTTCCTTAAGGTGAGGGAACAACAAACACAACATGCTCTGCTACTACACTGCCACCTGCAGACACCTCGCCCTCTGCAATTCCTGATATCCAGGGAGCACCTATAGATCCTGCTGACTGGCCAGCCCTCTGTGATGCGGTAAGGACAGAGTTAGTTAGCAGAGGACCATACCAGACCAGTCCAGACTTTACATTTCCAAAAAGAGATGATGGGAGAAGCTGCCACTACAACCACTTCTACAGGAAATTAGTAAATGGGGAGAAAATCAAGAGAAGCTGGCTTGTATATTCAAGGAAAAAAAATACTCTGTATTGCTTCTGCTGCAAGCTCTTTTCACAGAAAAATTATAACCTCATTAGTAGTGGCCTAAATGACTGGAAGAATTGTAGTGAGATCCTGAAAAGCCACGAGCACAGTCCAGAGCATTCGGGGCACATGACCAGATGGAAGGAATTGGAGACTCGACTTGAAAAGGGCCAGACAATTGATCAAATGGAAATGGCACTCCTTGAAGCTGAAAGGAGGAGGTGGCGTGAAGTCCTGACTAGATTGGTGGCCATAATACAGTCTTTGGCCGAGCGAAATATTCCCCTGCGGGGGAAATCAGACAGGCTATACCAGCCAAACAATGGAAACTTCCTTAAGGAGGTTGAGCTCATGGCCAAATTTGACCCTGTCCTCAAACAGCATGTTGCTGATGTGGAGAGAGGAGCCAGCCATACAACATACTTAGCAAAGGACACTCAAAATGAACTAATTGATTGCATTGGTGAAAAAATTGTACACTATATGTTAAAGGAGATAAAGCAAGCCAAATATTATTCAATTATTTTGGATTGCACCCCAGACCTCAGCCACATAGAACAGTTATCTGTTATAGTTCGAATGGTTGCAGTAGATGACACAGACACCCCTACAGTAAAAGAACATTTCATGGGGTTCCTTGAGGTGGAATCATCCACGGGAGAAAGCCTCACCAACCTTATTCTGAAGAGACTAGAAGAGTTTAACCTTACCTTTGAAGACTGCCGGGGACAGTCTTACGACAACGGCGCCAACATGAAGGGAAAGACAAAAGGCGTCCAAGCCAGACTTTTGAAACAAAATCCCAGGGCTTTATTTGTCCCATGCGGAGCACATACTTTAAATCTTGTTGTTGCTGATGCAGCAAAAAGCTCCACAGATGCAATGAACTATTTTGGCTACCTACAGAGAATTTTTACACTATTCTCTGCCTCCACACAAAGGTGGACCATCCTAAAGCACCACATCAAAACGACTGTGAAATCCTGGTCGGATACAAGATGGGAAAGTCGCATTAACAGTGTACAGGCTGTGAGATTCCAGACAGCGGAGGTGAGGGATGCCCTTCTTGAGGTCAGGGAGAAAACCACTGATTCTATGATTAAAACAGAGGCACAGTCTTTGGCTGAAGAGGTTGGGTCATACCGCTTCTCCATTTGTAGCGTTGTGTGGTATGACATGCTGGCCAAAATTCATCATGTCAGCAAAGCATTACAGTCCATGTCTATGCAACTGGATGTGGCTCTGAATCTCCTGAAGACAACTGAAGCCTCTCTGGTCAGCTACAGAAGCAGTGGGTTCGCTTCTGCTCAGGTATCTGCAAGAGATCTCTGTGAGGAGATGAATGTGGACACTGTCCTAAAGCAGAAAAGGCTGAGAAAAAACAAAAGACAGTTCTCCTATGAATCACCCGATGAGCCAGAGGGAGATGCGCTAAAGAAATTGGAAATTACCTTTTTCAATGTCATTGTTGATGTGTCAGTTACATCACTGCAAGAACGCTTCAAGCTGTTGGGTGATGTTGAGGACAAGTTTGGAGTGTTGGTGAACTTTCCTAATTTGCCAGAGGAAAAACTTGCAAAGGAGTGCGAAACCCTCAGCAACACTCTGAGCCACGGTGACCATAAAGATATTGATGGGAGAGAACTGGCGATGGAGTTGAAACATTTCCCAGTGTTGCCAAAAGCTGGCATGACGACAAAGGAAATTCTGAATTACCTGAAGGAGAAGAAACTTGAAGAAGTTTTTCCTAATATGTGGGTGGCCCTAAGAATCGCTGTCACACTACCTGTGACAGTAGCTTCTGCTGAAAAAAGCTTCTCTAAATTAAAATTACTTAAGACCTACCTGAGGTCAACGATGAGTCAGGAACGCCTCAATGGGCTTGCACTGATGAGCATCAACCAAGAGGTCTCAAGTAAAATATCATTTGATGATACCATCAACGAATTTGTCATTAGAAAGTCCAGACGAGTCAAATTGTAATGCTGCATCAATTTTGAAGGTGAAAGCCGAAAGAGACTTTTTTTTTGTAGAGGGTAGGTAGTTTTGGACAGTTAGAGTTTATTATTTAATTTGGTAAATATCCTCAAACATTCTTTGTAGCATTTTTGCATAAACAATTTATTACTGTTGATCCTTCAAGTCATAATTTGATTGTTGAAGTGTTTGAGTGACTATAAATAAAGCATTTTTGTTTGTTCATCCATTGTTTGAGTCATAATGAAATGTCCTTGAACAATCTTTGTAGTATTTTTGTATATGCAATTTATTGGGGGGGCGCAAAACTCAATCTCGCCTAGGGCAACCAAAGGGCTAGAGCCGGCCCTGCCTCTCACCAGTGTGAGACCCTGTGAATCTGTCACAGCTTAACAGAACTGACTGGAGTCTTGGGTTGCTTCTGTCTAGCTCCATGAAGTGGGCAGTAACTCCTAAAAAGCCACGCATGGTCCTGTCAGTCCAGATATCCACAGTAACCGACACAGTGTCTGTTGTCTCTAATTTTGATTTGATCTTGGCCTCTTTGACTGTTGCAAGCTCATTCAGTCTTCTTGTTACGCTGCACCGACTTACTGGACAAAAATTCTGAAGCTGGGATTGTCAATCAGTGACGGTGACAGGTTGCATGAAATGATGAGTTTCTTAATGATTGATTCAGTGATGGTCTTCTGCCTAGGATGTCCCTGATGGTACACTTGCACCTCTTGGCTGAATAATGAATGACTCAATGCTGCTCTGTCTCTCTCCAATAGTACCTTTTTTAGCATTGGTGAATTCTGTAAACCTGTAGATGGACATGGGAAATAATTTTGCATGCCACTAATACAATCGGCATAAAACTGTCGATATACGGTATCTTTATTTTGACACTCTCCACATCCTCACGGAACTTTTCTCAGCTGAAATAGATGCCTGACAAGATTGACTGAACCCTTTGTAACAAAAGCCGGTATGTTCCACTGTCAAGGCATCGCGACTTCATGTTTTACAGCAGAAACGACAAGCACCCTTGTTGTCTGTGAACACAACCCGAAAAGTCTGTTTTAGCGAATCAATGGCAGTATTCAGGTCAGGTGACAAGGCTGCTAGTCACTTTGAAAAGACGCACTAGCTGAGAGGAGTTTCGTCAAAGCTGATTAAAAGTGATCGAGGATGGATTTCAACGAACTTGATGAACCCGTGATATCTTCTTCGGGGCGTAAAAGGAAAAATAAAAGCTGAAACTTTTTTCACGGAATCTTACTAAAGCAGCACGTTTAGTGGTGAGGGAAAAGCTCTCTGTATTGCGTGTACGTTAATCACAACAACAAAGTTTGACAGGCGTCTATGTCAGCTTAGGAGATTAACCCTCTGGGGTCCAAGGTGTTTTTGGGGTCCTTGAGATGTTTTGACATACTCTGACATTTGTGCTTTTTTCAGTTGCTTATAAACATATTACTGGCAAAGGTGTAATTACACTCTATTTAGCACAAACAGGGCTACCATAATGTGTTATCAACATGTATGTACATGTTTGTATTCTTGAGAGAATATTGTTTATGCGTGGTTATTGAAAAAACTAAAACTTAAAGTTTCTGAAATAAGGCCACAAAACACATACTAATTATCTGTCCACAAGACTTTTGACTAATGGATGTTGTCGCCTAGAGTTTTTTCTTCAAAATGATCTGAAAATCATCCTGCCTTATCATTCACATAAAACAATAGATTGGTTTAAATTTAAAAATGACACTTTTTGTTTGGAAAGGCAATATCCGCAGGGGTGTGACCTGCTGTGATTCACACCTGAGAAGACAATGGGCCCACATAATGAGCGCATAATGGGGCTGCATACTAATGAGCCTTTCATTCAGGTGTGTCACTGAGCCACAAGAATGCAATGACAATATATATATATATATATATATATATATATATAGGCCTATATAATACAAAATTGGTTCACAGTTCCAATTATTTATTTATTTTATCAAATTGTGCTTGCAAATTGTATAATATCAAATGTAAAAATTTCTAGTAATTGTGCAGTTAATTCTCATACTGTTTTTACAGAAAGTTTGGGAATATATCCCAAATGTGTCACTAATAAAACACAATACAAATAATTTAAAGAGGAGGCTTATATTGAGCTTTTAAGATTTACCTAAGATTTATTTATATGTAGCCAACATATATTTTTGTTATTTTAATAAAAAGGTTAGAATTACAACAACAATTACAATTTTAACTATATTTCAAATGTAATCTTTCTTTGTATTATATACTAAAGTATACATTTTATCATACATATTTCACAGTTGCGGATTAATTAGTTTGAATATAGCCTACAATCGAACAAACACTATAATAACATCTTAGCAAACAAGCTTATTTGATGTGGCAGTATTTTACAGTAAAAACGACATCTTGTCTTTCATATGTAACATATCGTTTTTATGATTAGGACATATAAATGTTAATTTGTAGTTTAATACGTTGCTTATACAAAAATATTTTATTTCAACATATTTCAGTCGATTTTTACTCATCTCAGTATTGGAATATAGTTAGGTAAAAGCTGTTCATTCATTCACACACAAAAACGCGATTCAAACAGTCTTTTTGTTTACAGACACTATTTCATATCGCGATTAGCACAAAGCACTTGAAAATAAAGAATGTACCTATTTTCTCGGCTGGATCCGTTGCTCCTCCAAATGAAACTACCTGCACTTCTGAGGTAATTTTTTCCAGGATTATTATTAAGATAGTATTATTCCTCACAGTGTCGTAAATATGAGTCTCTTTCGGTGGTTATCCAGCTGATGTGTGGGCGTGGATCGCCTCAGAGCGTTTGTGTTTGAATAGAGCGCGCGCTCCGTGGGCGTGGTCAAATTAACTTTAATGAGCTGAGACGAGAACGACTATCATCTCTCTCTTTTCGTACAGATTACATAAAATGAGAAAATTTGTTTTTTATATAAATTACTTCATTTAAAAGAAGATAATTCAGGCTTCATGCCTGTGTGCCTGTATAACTGTTTGACGGAGTATTTGCAGAGTTACAGTTCATTTTTCGGACAGAATGGACTTCACTGACAGAGAGAACGCAGAACAGGCATCATGTTTATTTTTCTTTATTAGGCGAAAAGCACAACACTTTGTTTTTATTATGAGGTTCCACAAAAAAAATACAAACTTAACAGGATCGAATGATCTACAACACTTATATGTACGTTCAAAATCAACAGAGTAATTTGAGTCTCTTTTGCACTGATAAGGAAAAAAGTGAGCTGGTATCGCCGGCGAGACCGCCGACCCCAGAGGGTTAACGTTACAAAGTTTAACTGAGTGTTTTATTATGTATCATAGCAAATTACTTGGCTTTGTTTAACTCTGAAACATGAAATGTGGAGTTATCTGCTTTTGCCACACAAATATATATATATATTTTAGTGCTGTCAAATGATTAAAATATTGAATCATGATTAACCCTCTGGGGACTAAGCCCTTTTTGGTCCGTTTTCTCTATTTTTACATTTGGGCTTATAAACCATATGAAATGGAGATGGAACACTATGTGTTTGGTATACATGGATTCAGAAGACCCTAAGCTAACATAAGCATGCATGTAATGTGTCTATAAAGGAAGTATGAGTGAAAAATGTACAATAAACTAGAGAATTTCCAAAACGGAAATTAGATTTTTGTCATTTATTTCTGAAAATCACACAACAATAGTGAACAGTTTTTTAACAAAAAATATATTTGTCAAAGCCTTTGCTTGACAGACATGTGTAATTGTTAAATAAACTGTGTAAAGAACAATGAAAATTTTAACTTTATTTACAAATAGTCCCAGGCGTTTTTCTTAGGAATGCTTAGAATTTTCTAAGCAATGCTTTCTCCTCGTCACTCTCCAGTAATTGTTCCAGAGCTTGTTCCACCGTAAATCGTTTACTGCTTGCCATCATAAAAGTGCTAAAACAATACATAATGCTATAATTGTATGTATATGTATATATATATATATATATATATATATATATTATAATTGTTCTGTCTCTCTCTCATATTTCTCTGATAATCCGCTCCGTAAGCCTCCGTTCGCTCTCTCTCCTTCTCTCCATTCAACGCTGTTTGCGTCATATCCCTAACTATATAGTACCACCCCTTGCAAGGCTACAGAGTCCTCTGATTTGCTAGATACGTCATGGTAACCTTCCTCTGAATGGGTAAGAAAAATATTTCTCCATCAGCAATTTTTCCATTGGTTGTTGCTTGCGGAATCTGCCAAACAACATCGATTTCATTGGCCTTTTACATTGTGGTATTGCGCAACAAGGCTTGTATATATTTACAAGCCGGTTATCACTGTTTTCAGCGGAATCTGAGGAAGACGGTAAAAAAGGACGGTACCGCCCAAACCGTCCCCAGAGGGTTAATCGCATTAATGTCATAGTTAACTCACGATTAATCGCAATTAATCGCACATTTTTATCTATTCTAAATGTCTCTTGATTTATTTTTGTCCCATTCTTTTTTCTCATTTTAATGCTCTTATCAACATGGAAAAGTGGATCAGCTTGCTTTGTGCAAATGTTTTTTATTGAAAACAACATTGACATATACAGTGTTCAATTTCACACTAACATTCTCACTTGGAGCAAATAATCTCTCAATGTAACACTGTCCATCAATAAAAGGGTGAAAGAAATACTGACGAGGTACTGATATTGACGAGGGGGCGGAGAATTCGCATCAGCTGTGTGTGTGCTTGGCCATCAAGTGGTATTTCAGACTGGACGTGCTGCGATGATGATAACTCAGTTCACAACGACAAAACACAGATAACTTTGGTCTTGTCAGTGGAACCATTTGGCAATTTTTTAAAAGTAAACTTTCCATTCGGCGTCTCGCGCTCATCATCCACTCAAAACGTAACGTTAACCAACTATTTGGCCGGTGTGGTGAATAATCCGGTCACTCGGTGTAAATAGTCCGGG